ATAAGATTTTAATCCTATTCCAACACATATCAATATACTCATATTAAGAATAACAAAATTGTTGACCTAAAATAATGATATATTTTTATTGCTCTCTGTTAATAAATTCACACTATAAAATTGTAAAAAATGAATGGCATAAGATACAATAATTTTTTATTTGTTTTTTTAAATTTACCTATACCGATGCTGCAAGAGTGACTATCATCCATGTTGACGTATCCTTGTCAAAAAAATAAAATTTTTAATTTGTCCGTTTATTGTACAATTTTACGAAAATCACTGTAACACACATACATATTTCTGTTGCACTTTGTATAAATAAAATTCACGTGTATTTTGTAAACAGTTACAAAAGTTTGTTAAAAACTTTTAGCTAACTTCAGATTGTTAACTGGATCGTTTTCCATACCGACTAAGCGTCTATTAACTATAGCGTTTGGTTAGCGTTTAGCGTCTATTAAGATGATTATGATGATGTTCACTTAATAAATAAAAAATGCATAAACGTATTGGTTTTTCTGTCCACAGATTTTATTGAAAACTTTTTTTACTATATACATCTTAATGTAAACAGTAATTATTAATGGACAATTGTGTCACAGTTGCCAAAAGAATCTCCTTTATTTATTATCCTGTCAATATTATTAATACCTAAATGGCTTCAAATACAAACAACAATGAAAAGAAGAAGAAAAAATCATTTGCACGTGATCGTTCGTAACAAAATCGACATCATTACCGTGTCATGTATATCGAAAGATTAGAAATATCTTTTAATGTCGTACATAGAAACAAGCGAATTAAATGTAATATGCTGCTAAATTGAATCAATGTATGTCTTAATACGCAATTTCTTAAGACAACTGTAGACAAACCTGATTGCATGTTATACGCGCATATACTGTAATGATTAACGTTATACACGATTTCTTAAGCAGCAATGAGACGTCTGAGAGAATATTGAAAAATCAATTTGAGACATTTAACGGTCGACTATGACTGCAATCGTGAATTCGCCAAATATATAATTAAAGAAGATGAAAGGAAAGTGATACATAAAATGTTAATCCTATGCTTATATATATATATATATATTCTTTTCTTTCTTTTTTTTTTTTATACAGCGTGTTTTTCTGCGTTTATCGAAAGAAATTAATTCATCGATTCGATTCACAATTATTGTCAACTTGTCGTCCCGCTTATGTTCATTATCAGACGTTCTTAAATTTCATAAAGGCACTTTCACTCTATCGATTCACTCCAATACTTAAATAAAGTGTTCGGCATGTACAATTATATATGTTTCTTTGATAACGAATTTTTGTGTACAAATAAATTATGACTTGATATCCTTGTCACTAATTTTTCATTTTATCCGATTGGCTTTTGCTTAATTTCTAAAAGATATATTTGTGATTGAATGATATAGCTTCTTTAAACATTTCATTAAAAATAATTAAGTTTTTAAAATTTGATCTAATTTGTTTCTAATTTTTATTATTATTATTATTATTATTATTATTATTTTTTTTTTTTTTTTATTCATTTATTTACTTTTATTTATTTTCTTTTATTTATTTATTTATTTATTTATTTATTTATTTATTTTTTCCCTAGCAAACTAAGTATACGAGCCAGTCACAATTGTATTTAAGATTCCTATTAACTTTATAATCAAGCAAAAACTAATCATTTATAACATTATTTTTGTTTATTTCTAAATTCTCGGGCTATTGAGGTACAGTACTGCTCGTTTAATTTTTAAAAATTCGATACCAGCAGTGATAGTTAGTTTTGTCCACTTAGCTGGTATTCCAGTATTGTTGACTAGAGTAAATTGAAAACGTTATATTATCAAAATGAAGCAGTAACCTCAATTTTCAGACCTGCTAAACACTGAACTCTGTTGTAAATACATTGAGGCATTCGTAATCAATGATGAAAGTCATTGGGCAATAAAAATGAGATTAAAATTAAAGAAGAGGTTCGAGAATAAATCGTACCAAACACTTGATTCAAATATAAAGAAAATGTGCTACATAAAACAGCGACGAACACTTTGTGTTGTTTACACACTACCGCAGATGGCGACAATTAATTAGTAATATAATTTTCCGCAATTATATTATCTGCAACAAATACTGTACAAAAAAATTGTAAACGCGATGAACGATAGTATACGCAGACATAATTCTTTAAGGGGTTGTCGCCGGAGTTTAGTTTCATTGACGGTTGTATATGTATGTGCATATATATATATATATATATATATATATATATATATATATATATATATATATATATATATATATACATATATATATACGAAAATTACTCAAATGCCTTCTGATATTTTAAGAGGTAAAAATGCAAATTGTACCAGAAATGTGAGAATAAAGAAAATTGAGAAAATTTATTGCAATAGATCGTAAATCAAACAATCATGCGGAAGATTTAAAATACATATGATTTAATTCCCTTCCGATTACACGTTTTACTTTATCATTGCATGCATGCGCCATAAAATTAAGACTAAAGTTTTAAAATATAATCTCCAATTCTTTCAAGTAAGATATTTCGTTCCAATTTGTTTGCTACAAGGAAGCGCATTTATTATGCCGGAACTAGTAAGTTAAAAAAAATTCAACAATCACTGTAATTCTATAATTAATGAATGTTTAAATTATCAGTCTAATTCACATTTATGCCAACCAAAAATGCTACTTAACAGCCTGTGGATTTGCAAAAAAAAAAAAAAAAAAAAAAAAAAAAAAAAATATTAAAAAATCTCATTACGTGTTAACAATAAGTTAACTTTAAATAAAATATACAACGATTTAAATTTATCAATACACGGTTAATTTTCAGTTAATTAAGAAAGACATGCATATAAAAATGAAAAAAAAAAAAAAAAAACTGTTTGTTCGAGCATTCTTTATAAACAATTATAAGCTAAAAGATCTGGTAGAGGCGCTAATGACTTGACTGCACTAAACCGGTCGCAATATTGCGCCCATCTAATCTAAATTCCTTCTTCTTTACAATATATTATCAACGATAAACTTAATATTGAAAATAAAACCCTCCTTATAAATCATCCTTATACAAATAAATCAAAAATTCTTTTATTAATCACGCAGCATCGTGCAATCAAGACAATTATCAGTACGCCTGCCATACAAGCCCTGATTCGCAGTTTGAAACATTACACATTTTTAGTTTCTTATTGCTCGCTGATCGTCGATGGCTAACATGATCCTCCGCATCTATTAAAAAGCAACGTCGCACATTCGAGTAATCGTCAATAAAATAAATCCATACAATCGCCACCGAAACAGTCGATTAAAGCAACAGCCCCTCATTTTATAACTGAGACGCCGCCCCAACGGAGCCTTCCCTCTTAGAATTAGAACAACGTGCCGTTCTGCGTTGCCTTCTGATTAGAGTTGACATTGGCCGGCGCTGCATCCAAGGCCAACTTTCGTCTATGATATTCGGCACTATTAGTATTATCACTATTAGTAATTATGGACTTTCTTCGCAGAGGTGCCGACGAGGTCACATTCCCGTTGCTACTTTTCTCCTCCGCGACAACCGAATTCGTGCTCTTGCGTCGCGAAGGCAGCAATTCACCATTCGCCTGATTATCCTTCGCGTTGACACTATTTTTACTAGCGCCCATCATGCTCGGATGCTTGATTCCGCTGTGGTTCGTGCCAGGAGGCGAACCCATTGGTAGCGTCGTTTTTCGCCTGGCGTTCGAGTTTGTCAGTTCGTGATGATTGAAATTTACCTTGCTAGCTTGATTGCTGTTGGCTAAGTGAAAGACAAGGAAAAAAAAAAAAAAAAAAAAAAAAAAAAAAAAAAAAAATAGAATAATAATTTTTATGACTACATTCACGTTAATTGTAACTTACTTTAATTTAAGCAAGCCCGATCCCGTTTATGTGCATTAACCGCTGATGCATCAAAAGGTGCCTGAACTTTGTTAATTAAGTAGAGTTGGAGAAACTTGTTTTGGTATACAACCGGTTACGAGGCGGCAAAAGCTTCGCGTTAATAAAGACTTGGTTCACCCCATATAACCGCACACGCATACGCGGATGCTCAATTTACCTTTTTGCAATTGATGCTCGTTACAATTTTAATAATTTAGTAGCAGCATAAGCAGTTAAGTTATAACCAATTAACATTATCAATAGTAGAATTGACTGTCAAGCTCAATGTTAAATTAACCTTATTATTCGCGAAATTACAATCTTAAAAATCTTAAGATTAATAGAAAGCAGCGCGGTGCTTAAGGCTTATTAGAGGCTGGACGAGTTTCTGAATAAATTACACAATGATTTATAAATATTTACCGAATTTGACGAAATCCGTTGAATTTTGACCGCCGTTTATGAGCCAACGCTCTACCTGAGCCGCATGCGACTTTTGCAAGACCTTACGAATATCGCCGTCTTCGCCCTCCTCCTTCATTAAATCTTGCAATTTTTGAATTGTCTGGTAAAGTATAACGGGGCTCACTAGGCCAAAATCAAAAAGACTGCACATGTGTAAAATGAAATTGCGGTAGAGGTTCTTCATTAGGAGCTCCTTGCCCTTCTTTTCGAGAAACATTTGACAGGCTAACGGGATCTGACAGTCACCCACGTAGCCATGCTTCATCACATGAAGGTTCCACATTTTCATAAGTTCTTTCTCGCCCTCGTTCACATCTGTGAAATCATCGATCATCATCATCGTCTTCGTCTGCAGCCATTTTGGATCGTTTTCACCCTCTGAGTCGGCGTCCAATTCCTTTGGATAAATTGGCAAGCAGGTAACGGTGTGATGATATAACCTTAGAAAAGAAAGGATACGAGATTATTCGTGCTTGATGATGCTTTAAGGATGTTAGAGGACGTGGCTGAAGGGAGATGAATTATTGCATTATTATGGTGCCAACTGGCGACTCTTAAATTAGTCTTAGTGCTTTTGTCTTACAGCTCATCCCAGATGCAAGCGAAAACCGACACTGCCAATTGTCAACGGCAATCTTTCAACGCCGCCGCATTAATCCCATACATTTTAACAACTCTGTATATCTCGGTATGTCGTTCGTTGACGGATGAAAATGAATACAAATTTTCTATTTACCTATTGTGCCCTGTAATGTAAGGCCGTGAATTCTCGAATTCATTCTCATCGAGTTCTAAGAACTCTGAAAGACTTGGCTTTGGTCTTTTTGGTCGGCATACGACGATATTAGTTACACTCGTGCGCCTTGTAGGTCCTGTTCTGGAGTAGGAAACATTCGAAGGCTGTGAGATCAATTCGTGCGGACTACCGGCATATGAGCCATCGTAGCAATCGTTTATAGCTACATCTATTCGAGCGCCTTGCGATATCGGCTAAAAATCAATAGAATTATAGCTTTAGTCTTAATTCGAATAAAGGATAATCGAGTAATCCGTAATAAAAGCATAATTGGAAATGTAATATCGATGCTGACGAAGCCGAATTCTAATTCTATCTCCACTAAATCGTTCTTTAATGTAATTTTTATTTTATTTTATTGCTTTGTTCAAATTCCATATTTCATTATATCGTCTAGTGCCAATATACCGTGTCTTTTGTGTGTAAGGCGTGTTGTGTTAATCGAAGAGAAAAACGATAGAAAAAAGTACCAATTATGCTGATTTATTTGGAACGTCGTGAAGGTGTCTAAGAATTGTTTACTCACAACATAAGTGAAGGTAAATCTTGAATGGCATAATTTTAAATGCTTCAACAAGGAGTACAATCTACCACAATCCAAAGAGCACCAGGGACAATGTAGATCCTCGCATGCCTCTGTTTGCTGTCGACTATTATTGTTGTAAAGAAATTGATAGACGATTTGTTGATTGCCTTTCGACACCTCGATTTTGTCCAAATTTGCTACAGACATTTTTGAAGGTGCAAGTGGACTAGACGTAGACAATGCTGTATTGTTGTTATTGTTAGTACTATTGTTATTGTGATTGGTCGTACACCTGTCTAAACCAGCTAAAAATGAAATAATATCGTCAGAATGAGGCTTTTTACGTAAATTTAAAAAGCGGCGATCATAAGTATTTTGACGTAAGCTGAAAAAAGTTTCGCGAATAGAGTGTAGCGTAATTCAAATGGGCCACACAAAATGTAATTCATAAGGGGATAGTGGATTGCGTGGACGATCGATATAAGCCAATAATAATTTTGATTTATAAACAAGTGAAAAACAATTGCAACGATAATATCGTCTTTCTCATAACTCAACTTCATTGGCAATGAAGTTTTATAAAAGAAATTTTGTTTTACAATTTTCATATTTTAAATTATCGTAAGACTTTGTTAGTAAGAGAATGAAGCAGATATTTAATCGGTAATATTATCAATTTGCCCGTTGAATTTTATCTGACGAGTACCGCCAAAATGCTTGACACTAAAACAACGTTTTACATTCTAATAATAATTATTTCACGTAAAAGCCATTATTGTTGGTTACTTTGATAAAGCACGTCATTGGCTAAACTCCACTCCGCGTAGGAGAGATTAAACTTAGAGCAAAGATCCAAAGAATATTATTATCAATTTCCGTTTATTAATTTCGTCACAATTCTTATGATCGCCGCTCCAAGAGGATCAACGAAAATGGTAATCTTACTGTTTCCAGGTCGGTTCTCTTTGTTATCGGCACTGGGTAGCGGGTTAATTGGTGGCGGCCTGTCGACGTAACCGCTACTCGGCTCGGTCGTCCAATTCAGTCTAAATTTCAGCGTCGGTCCGCGGCCAAATACGTCGAAAGGGCCGCAGTCCTTAACGCTGGGAATCGTCTCCCAGGAACTGTGCTTCTTTGGGCTCGCCCGAACGCTCGTCTGTACTTCCTGGAGCCCGAGCTCGTAGTCACCGTCGGTAAGGAGGCAGCGATTGTGCTTGTCGTAGACGACGAGCTCCGAGCCGTAGAGCTTCACCTCGTCCGAGTTGGATTTTATGGCGGTGCCGTTGGTGGACTTGCGGCGTTTCTGAGCCGGTTCTGAAACGTTTTTGATCATTCAGGATTTTCGCGAGGGCGTTACGGCGACAACTAACCAAATCGTCCATTCCCACTTGGAAAACAATGTTGATTTTATTAAGGCTTTTTTTTATCATTGAACGCGCAAAGGAAAAATATTTCGAATTGACAATCTACTGAGGTAATGAAACACGTTTATGCGTTATTATTACGTCAAAAAGTGATCTCTCAAGATGATATGGCAAATAAGATTATGTATTATTGTTGAAAGAATAGCTGAGAATAAAGTGCTATGGAAGTATATATTAATTCGAAGTCGTAGAGAATAAATAAACATTAAAAGCAATTATACGCGCGCGCGCGCACACACACACACACACACACACACACACATGTAAGTATGTAACGTAATGAATGATATGAACATGTTTGAATGGTCAATAATATTACTTGATTTCAAATGCACTGCACGCTTGAGTATTTTCTTCTTTTTTTTTCAATCATTGTTTATATTCTAAATGTAAAAAACATTGTTTTGCTTAAAAAAAAAAAAAAAAAAAAAAAAAAAAAAAAAAAAAAAAAAAAAAAAAAGAAAAGACGAATCATTTATTAAAGCAAAGTTATGGGACTTTTTATAATTTTCTATTGATATAAGAGATTATAGGTAATAAATCGCTATAAGTAAATAAAAAAAAAATGAATAAAAAATTGTATTTTATTATAAATAACAGAACAATTCAAATTTTCAAGCAATAAAATATTTTAAATCATTATAAATTAATCGATTTTTTTTTACTTCTAATTTCATAATTCTTTCAAAGAGTTCTTTCAATAATTAATGTCATTTCTTAAGTGCCATATTCATCATCTTGCATCATTCAACTTTTGCATTTTTAAAGTTGAATCTTGAATTTACAATAAATTGCCGTAACAACATTACAAGCGATAGAGAATGACTTATCATTTCTATGAACGTAATATCATTTAGTCTTTGCACAATACGGAAGTAATTTCTTTGCAACATACTGCATTCGATAAAAAATCCTTGATGTATGTTTTTCTTCTTCTTTTTCTTTATAATCGAACATTATATCAGCAGGATTTTACGTCTTCGTTAAAAAATGAATCGAGACAGTCGGAGAAATTCTACCAATAATAAATCAATAACTAATCACTTAAGTCGGAATAATTTTCGAAATGATATTAATACACTACACAAAATTAAATCAATCATACTTCTTTAGCCTTATAATGGAAAAAAAAAAAAAAAAAAAAATCTTGATAAAAAATGCCCTCGATCATTATTCAATTGATATTGGTGCAGTAAAATTATGAATAATTGCTTTTGCAAGAGAATAATAAGTAATTACCTTCTACATCACAGTTTTGTATAAGGCAGCTATTATTCGACATGCAGTAGACCCTAAGCAGTAGCATGTACGTCTTCGCAACATGACCGTTATTTAAACTAAATGATTCATTGGGTATCGACACTGTCGGTGCTTTGGGTGGTGGCTGATTTTCGGAAGGATTTATCGGTACTTCGCTCGTACCCACGGATACCTGGCGGAAATAAGTTTATTAATTTCCTCGGGAGGTTATAAGTTGTCGCGTGTTAAGCGATTTACCAAACCAGAAACCGAATTTCATTAAAATCATGCTGTACTTCCTACTACGCATATACGACAATATTTAATCAAAGCGATGTCCCTCCTCGGTTTACAATTATCCGCCACTTTAAAAGTGCACGTTAATAAGGTTGGAGAGTAGTGGCGATTTTCTTTGGATTGCTTTCAAGGTTGGATGCTTCTTCGCTGCCGGCGCGTGGAGATTTTCATTGGCTTTAATGATTTCAAGTTTAATTTCGTTTAACCGCTTCGGCTTCGAGTGCCAACATTGTTATTGGCCGATTTTAAATCCCAAGTACGATATTTCTCACATTTTCACATTTGTTCGAATAACCGCCTATTTTGATTATTACATTAAATGAAATAGCATCTATGGTTATTGAATTGGAGCGTTAATGTGCCGAGCAGCAATCGATAATGATTATTCGGTTTCCCCCTTCAATTTGTACAAAAATCAAACCTGCATAATCGGAGAGCTAACATCTTTGCGTTTTTTATGACATATTTTTAACAATAGTGTTTCTACTTTTACGGGATCTTGAGGCTCCTCGACTGAAAAGAGAAAGAAATGGTACATGATAATATAACGACTTTTCTTCTTTCCATAACAATAGCAATAACAATAAAAAAAAATAAATAAAAATAAAAAAAAAATAACACCTACGTTTTTTATCATAAAATCCCAAGAACGTGAGGGTCATATAACCGCGTAATACGGCATTCTGTTCCTGCTCGTTCTTGGCCATTATTTTTTCTAAGATAGAATTTATTCGGAATCCTCTCCGAGATTTGTGAGTTCGAGACATGCGCTGTCTCATGTACGTTAAGTTTCTGTACAGAAATATCGGCTGGAAGAAAAGAGAATTATAAATCTCCGTCGCTTAATTGCTACGATGGCTCCAAACAGGAAATAAGTATTTTATAAAGACAAAAAATTTTTATAAAAACAAAGTGTAATTAATACATACCGTAAATGAAAAAACAATCACAAAAAATCCGGGATAAAGCAAACCATAAAATCAAAACAATGCAAACAAATGTTCCCGTTATGTACAATAAACGCGTGCAAATTGATCCTTTAGTGGGTGAAAAAAAAAAAACGCAAAAGAAAAAAAAAGAAAAAGAAAAAAAAAGAAAAAGTGTAAGTATATAAAAAGGGCAAAAAATATTACTGTATCAGTAACAAAAAGTAATCAAAATAAATGCTAGGACATCGTTGTGAGAATAAAACAGTTTTTAAGTTAATATGCTATATTAATTGAATCGTTATATTGATAAAACTTTCTATTTTTTGTATAATGGCAATCTTATATACACATACACACGAATATATATATATATATATATATATATATATGCAGGTATGTTTAATATACTAAAGTGTCTTATTTTTTGCGTAAAATGTTAATTGTTTCTTTATTCGACTGCTATTTTGCGCAATATTATATGTGTAAATATATATATATATATATATATATATATATATATATATATATATATATATATCTGGAGTATAGCTGTATGACCTAAAATCATCTAACTAACGATTTATCTGAAATCTTTTATAAGAAAAAATATATTTGCATACGGGTGTGTGGGCGCGCGCGTGTCCCTTGTGTATGTGGGCGCGTGTGTGCGTGTTACACGTACAGTTCATTGGGTTGGTCAATATTGAAGATAAATAGATTCGAGTAAGATTAGATCGAATATTAAAGCATCACCACTATACAAAATTTATCGAGCCTCGCAAACATCATAGTTCAATTAATGTTACATATTTCATCTTCATATAATATCGCTCGGTTTTAGCAATCTTCCGATTTATTAAGCGCACAAGCAAGTATTTAAAATATGATTTTATAGAATATATATTAATTTTGACAATAAATAATTTATTGCAGTGGTTAACGTTTTGAACAGAATTACGATATATACCAATATACATTATTTATTGTAGTACTTACCGAAATTTGATTTCGCGTACGCAAAAACCGATAAATTTGAGTTGGCTCTGAAATAGAAAATATATTTTTTAATATGTTATTTAAAATATTTTGTTGTGAAATTATATTTTCATTATTCAATAAATATGTATTAATATGTAAATAAAATGTCATCATTATTATTAATAAAATTTTAATTAATTAATCATAAAATACTATAATCGACTTACAGTCAAATGTTAAATTGCTTTTACAATATTTAATATTTTTAATCATTCATTATACCATTCCTAAGCTAAAAATTGTCCATTAATGTAAATACGCGAGATAGCCGCCAGATGGCGACCATAAGAACGTAACGTTCTATAAAAATGAGGCGTCAAAAGTAGAAAAGAATCCGAGGCAAATTATATACACGATCCTTCTCGGATTCAAAACGGGATATGATGAATGGGAGTAACTCATTTTATATGAGATGTCTGCGCACTCTAATTGTTACGCATTTGGCAGACCATGACCCTCTGATCCTGTTTACTATAGAAAACAACGTAAAAGAAGTAAATTTGGTATTTTATATAGGATTTGTATAGGATTTCTTATGGTTATAAATTTATATATTATAAAGATGATTTTATACGAGAGATTTCGAGCACAATTATTTAATTGAAGAAAGAATCATCGTGTTTGTGTGTGTGTGTGTGTGTGTGCGCGCGCCCGTGTTTGTGTATCTCTATGTGTAAACGTATTTTTATTACATTTGATATCGAATGAGACGAAAATAAAGTTTATATAAATTTCAACAAGACAGTTTTTATTCATTTTGAAGATTATATTTTCATTTAATTTACTATATAATTAAGTGAAAGGAAGGAAGAATATTTTTATCTCGCCTTTATCTTATTAAAAAAAAAGCTTCTATTTCTTATTAATTCCAATGTAATAATTTATTATATACGTTAAATCATATTAAGACAAAACTTGTTCAATGAATATTCAAAAACACATTACTATATTTTTTAGTTTTACGTAAGTAACATAGAATTAAAAACGAATTGATTTTTCATTGATTTATTATAAAATTAAACTATTAATATATTTTGACATGTTGAAAAATTATTAATTTGACTTGAGTGAGTATTTGCTTCTCATTGATGAATAATCTTTAAATTAAATTCTTAAATTATCTGTATTAACGCTTCTTCTTCTTTTTTTTTCTGGAAAAATACATTTTACGTCATGATAGTTCCAATAAATAGAATAAATTACTAAAGAGTTTATCAAAAAATGTAATTATCGGTTGAATAGAATATTCGTATGTATTAATTTTCATAAAAATTTCATTAAATGTTATATTATTTTCTAAACTTAGTTACCGTACCATGTAATAATTATACTCGGTCATATATTGTTATATCTATTAAAATCAGATAAATTTTTATAAACATTTGCAAATTCCTTATGTTATTGCCAAATTAAAATCATCCGAACCAATTAAGTTCGTATTATTCTTAATATTTACGAAGAGAAATATATAATTGCAACGTAAACGATAATTTTCAATTTTTTTTTTTTTTTTTTTTTTTTTTTTTTATAATTTTTTCCCAATTTTACGTAACAAAACTTTAGTTTCAAAGCCTTCGGAGGAACCTTATAAATTTCACTAAATTTCACTTTGTTGTAAAATTATTCAATTCCATTTTTAATAATAAATTTGATTCATAAAAAGTATTTTAATCGTAAAATTATGTAAAAAACCAAAAGACCGTCAAGCTTTTCAGCAGTGCATCCGAATAAATAAAATGACTAAATATTGTTTTATATGCGCTCGAACACTGTGACTAAAAATCAATCAAACATAATATTAAGATCGAAGAAAGAACACATTTCTTACTTAATACGTATTATTTTAAAGATATTTACGCCACGAAGAAAAAATGACGAATAGCGTTAAATGTTTCTTTATTAAATGATAATAGTCACTTTTTGTTGGTAATATATAAAATCATTAAACATTTGTTATTAAAACGTGTGCTCTATTTTATTTACTTTTAACAATCATCAATAAATTGTTATTATTTAAGGATACAATGAATTATTTGCTATTATCTAAGCATGCCGTTTAAAAGTGTTTTTCAATGACCTACATACCTTTCGCCACTATCAGAAAATCGAATACAAAAAAGATTTCATTAATGTATAGACACACCGTACGTGCATGCCTACGTATACAGATTTTTCATCACTCATATTTGCAAAATTTTAACAAGTTAAAAACAACACGGCAACCGCATAACATTAAGTCTCATTTTTATACGACCTAACGATGATTTTGCATTAATAAAATTGAAAACCTATGTGGAATAAATTCAGAATTTTCAATTTCAAACAAATACATAAAATTTCAGATAGATCAATAGCGTAGTAAAATGTTATGATATCACAATAATGAATTTCTCTTTTGATGAAAATGTCTTCGTCTGAAAAATCTTTTACATTCTTACAGCTAAGCTATTTTATATTTACTTTATTTAGAAGTTTAATGAAATATATTGATAATTTTTAATTTACCATTACAAGATGCTAATACAAAAAAAAAAAAAAAAACCCGATTGTCTTATAAAGTGTAAGTGAGCTAAAGTCCTTCAAACACATTTATCAATGCAAGTCTGTTTAGTATACTACTTTTAATGAATTCCTACGATCTATATTGCGTACATTAATCACATCATGTACAATTCATTGCGATCATTTGCATATATTGAAGGAAAAAAATTATTGACCCACTTACAAATTATGAATAAAATAAATTGAAAGTTAAGACTTTACAGATCAATGAAAACTATTTTAAAACATTTATTTTCAATGATATGCGTACTACAGTCTAATAGAAATATGAATATAGCGGCGATGTAAAATTAAATTTAGTTGCGTATAAATATTGGAATAACTATATCACGAAAACCTGTGTGGACAAACATCTTACGATAAGAAAATTTTCAGCAATCTATTAATTATCAAACAAATTGTTAATAAAATGTTTGTTTGGTAATATATATTTAATTGGTAATCAATACGCCAAAATGGAAATTATACTAGGCTTTTTTTTAATTCTATGTTATTTTAAACATTAAGCAATATTTATTATATATTTTTTAACTTAAAAAAAAAAAAAAAAAAAAAAAAAAGATAAATATAATTATAAAAATATTTTATATTAACAAAAATATTTCATGCACATTATTTGAATGATAGATTGGTACAATCTACTCTGTTTAGCCAAATTTTTATTACGACTTGGAGTATAGAAAAGTATCAAAATTAATTAACTATTTTTTTAAAAAATATTTTACGTATGGCAATATTTTCATTCATGAAATAGAGTAAATAATTAAATTTCTAATTTTTTTTTTCCAAATGCATTTCATACAAGTAAATTACATTTCTTGACGCCAGTACACGAAGTAGATGAAAAAGTTTAACGGATTTTTCATATGAAAAAAAAAAGTGAAAAAAAAAAAAAGAAAAAAAAACAAAGGATAAACAAGGCACTGAATTATATAGTAATAAATAAAATTATTAACGGTTCACAAATTTAAAAAAACAAAATAAGCTTAAATTAAGCATTTTGCAATGTCAACATTAAAGATTATTATTTAGATTTATTAATTCATAATGATTGATAATGTGTAAGCAAAATAAATTTACAAATCATGTAAAGCTGAAGGACAAATACAATATCAATAAAGGACAAAGAAAATTGATGAAAAACGTAAGATATTTTATTAGAATATATGTGTAATTTCACTAATTAATACTTTTTGATTTTATCATTAAATTGACCGCTGTATGTAATGATTACAAAAATTATTATTACTTTCTATTATTAATATTAATTTTAAAATGTCTATCTTTTTTTATTAAATAGTTATGTCTTGTATTATACACACACGCGCGCGCGCACTCGCGCGCACACACACACAACCATGATTATTATTTTACATCTAAATGTAAAGAGACGGTGATATTTAATTAAGAATTATTTATAAGAATTAATACATTTTCCGATTTTGGAAACAATCGATTTATCTATTCGAATAAAAAATAAAAATTTTTTGATCAAAACCTTTCGGTATATTTTGTGATAGTACGTTTTACTTTTACCACATTCAAAGGAATGAGGAGTTCCAATGAATTCAATTCTTACCCCGACATAGTAACATAAGAATCACACAAGCAATTGTGACTGATGAAATTGGGTCATTTTGTAATGTAAACTTATTTTTGAGTGCTAATTGTATTAGTTTGAATCTGCTTGATACATAAACATTGTCATTAGCAAGGAAAAACATGATCTGTTAAGTTTCGTATAACTAAACTATTCTACCAGTACCCGTGATTTAAAAAATTCAAATAATAAAATATAATACATATGTAGAATACATGAATATTCATAGATTTCAATGCTTTATTTATTGATTGAACAAGAAATCCATAATTATGAATGGTAGGCAAAAGGATAAATTACGGATAAGAAATCATAAGAAATTCTTGGATTTCTCAATTTGCCTACAGTTCCTTATGTTTCCACTTACAGTACCTTAAATCTTATAAATTTGATAATTAAATGAGATATTGTTGTTGAATTCAGAGCTCGTGCTATAAAATTTATTAAAAAGGCAATTTTCAGCGAAATTTTCTCCTGCATTTGTTCGGGATGCTATTCGTACTGTTTAAAATCAATCTTTGAAAATTAATCGTAAAACTGATTGTATAGGAAATTAAAGATATTAAATTTCAAATTTTTAATAGCTAGTACAGGAAACCATTAACAACGCGTTAAGCTATGATTATTATCGATTCGAAGGGTTACGAAAGTCTCGTATAATATATGTTTCGCTATTTTGCTGATTGAATATTGATCACAGGAGTATTCGTTTAATTTCTTGCTTGGCCGACCAAATCGACATTAAAATCGATCCTCATCCACATACACGTACATTTCGCTATACGCGCGGACTCTCATCTCCTTGCCAGTTCAATGCGACTCTATGCATTATATTCCACGACT